GGTTCTCTCCACCTCCCACGGCAGCTACCTGAGCCCGGGCGTCGCCTTCTCCCCGTGCCACATCCAGCAGATCGGGGCCGTCAGTCTCAACGGGCTGCCAGCCACTCCCATTGCACCAGCGTCAGGTGAGGCCTCCGGGGCAGGAACTCCTGGCCCGGCACTCACGGGCCCACCCGGGTAGAGCAGTTCTGCACCTCCCGGGCAGCAGCTGCATTAGCTCACTGCTCTCCAGCAGTGCAGCCTCTGAGCACAGCAGTCTCTGCTCAATTCCTCAACCCCCCCTGACACCCTCACATGTTCAGCACACATCCTCTTGCCCTACAGCTGTGCATTCTTGCTGCAGTTTTAGTAAAGGCCTGGGTTCCCAGGATTGCACTTGGCTCAGATCAGCAGTGCTGCTGTTCATGATCATCACCCCAGAGCAGTAATGCACGTTGGGTTCAAACCCTGTCAGGGCAGGCATGTGTCCTGCCAGGTGCTGTGCAAACCCAGAGATGTTCCCCCCTCAAAGCTCTGACACTCAGGACTGGCAGTTCTTCTCACACTCTTCCCACTAGTGCTGCCTCTTCGTTTTGTGAAGGCTCCAGTCTGTCATCTCCATGTGCCAAAGAGAATTAATGGCTTCATACACAGCAGTCTTGCCTGGTGGAAGGGGGGAGCAGGGGCTTTGTGGGACCTTGACTTTCACGGGCTGTCCTTTCTTCTTGTTCTCCAGGGCTACATTCACCACCTCTCCTGGGAACAGCAGCCATGCCTGGACTGGTGGCACCCATTTCCAATGGATTCACTGGAGTGGTACCATTCCCAAATGGGCATCCAACCTTGGAAACAGTTTACACCAATGGCCTTGTGCCATATTCAGGTATTGAGAGCAGTAAAAAAACCCCACCATGCAGAGACCTTTGAAATTGCAATTAGCTCCTCTTTTCTGGATTCCCCACACTTTTGTAGCTCCCTCCCAGCCAAGCACTGAGACTCACTTGGGGGCGAGGGTGGGAAACAACACTACACACACACACACACTCACACACACACACACACAATGCATGAGTGATTCCCTTTGCTGTGCTTCTGATTGTGTTTTTCTCTGCAGCCCAGAGCCCTTCAGTAGCAGAGACTTTGCACCCAGCCTTCACAGGAGTTCAGCAGTATGCAGGTACCAGCTTCCCTTGTCCCCCTCAGCCTCTTGTGTGGCTGACCAGATCCTCAGGTGAACGGTTTGTTCTGTCTCCTTGGGCTGCAGCTGTGTATCCAACCACCACCATCACCCCCATTGCACAGAGCATCCCTCAGCAGCCTCCCATCCTGCAGCAGCAGCAGCGAGAAGGTGAGGATCTCAGTGGGAGTAGGGGTGTCCAGTGGTGTGGCTGGGATTTGTGGAGCTCATCTTCTGCACAACAGAGACAATGGAGAGGGGATAGCACTAATTTTTGTCCACTGATCTTTAATGCTGGAGCTGGGGTATGGAAACAACCACATGTCTGCAGGGGGTGGGAAGGATCACAGGATGTTTCCTGACCTCACATCTGGCCAGATGCTGCCAGGTGCAGAGGGGCAGTAGGCCCTGGAACACCTTCCACACCAAAGGGGATGAGAGTCAGCACCTTTCCTGTGCAAAGAGGATCCACTCATCCCCCTCTTTGCTGGTGCCAGAACCACAGTGGAACCCGTCAAACCAGCCTCTCCAATGTGCTCTCCTCATTTTTCAGCCTTCATAGCCTATTGAGTTTATTTTCAACTTACTTTAAAACTGGCTTGAATAGAATTTGGAGGCAAAGACAATCTCTCTCTGCACCTGATTGGTAGAGCAAGTGTCTGCAAAGGAGCAGCTTGTTGTGCTCCTAAGGAGCAAGTGAAGGAATGGACAGGACCAGTTCAGCCCATAAATTGGATGTGTGGCAATCCAGGAGGTTTCCAGTTAAGGCTGTGGCTTCTGAACTGAAGGCAATGCTGCAGGGAGTGCTACAGCAGCAGCTTTCACACAGCAGTGTCTGCCACTCTCCCAGGACTGGGACAGCTGTGAGCTCTCACCTCAGCTGATTTCCTTCCAGCAAAACAGCACCCAGACACTCACAGAGCTGGTTGTGTCCAGCACCCTGTGTAGGAACTGGGAAAGCTTTGAAAGAGAATCTGCTCTCCAGAAACTGCTCTCCAGGTATAGAGTCTCTCAGTTGCTCTTTAAGAGCCCTCAGATCCCTTGAGGGACCAGTGACAGGGACAAGCAAGGGGAGGTCAGGGCAGGAGGCAGTGCTAGGGCTCTCCTCCAGTGCTGTGCTGTGAGTTGAGCCCATTTCTCTTCCCCTGCCCTTTGGGGGCTTTCTGTTTTGTCCTTCTCCATCACCCCCACACCTGCAGGTCCTGAAGGCTGCAATCTCTTCATCTACCATCTCCCCCAGGAGTTTGGAGACAACGAGCTGATGCAGATGTTCCTGCCCTTTGGCAATATCATCTCCTCAAAGGTGTTCATGGATCGTGCCACCAACCAGAGCAAGTGTTTTGGTGAGTGAAGGCAAGGGAAGTATGATCAATAACAATGACACTCACACTGGGCATGGCACCAGCAGTGCCACTGTCACCCATCCTGTGTCCTTCCTTCAGGTTTTGTGAGCTTTGACAACCCATCCAGTGCACAGACTGCTATCCAGGCCATGAATGGCTTCCAGATTGGCATGAAACGCTTGAAGGTCCAGTTAAAACGGCCCAAGGATGCCAACCACCCCTACTGACAGCAGTGAGCAAGCAGGAGTCACTTCTGCAGCACAGGTAAACTGCCCCCAGCAGGGCACAGCTCTGCTCAGGCCCCAGTGCTCCCTGCAGAGGGGGAGGCCAGCAGTGGAGGCAGTGACACAGCTGGTGGGGCACAGGCTTCACCTCAGCTGGGTGACCAGAGCAGGCCTGGAGGTGATGGCCAGGGCCAGAGCAGGCCTGGCAAATTTGTGGCAATGGGGCAAGCCCAAAGCCAAGCCAGAGAGTCAAGATCAGGGTCAGAGCCCAGGGATTGCCAGGCAGGTCTATATGACAATAATAAACATCGAGGTGGGAAGCCAGTGCAGGGGGTGGAGCCCAGGTAATGAGATCCATGGACAGCACAGGTCCATGGGCAGGTGGACACTGGCACTTCCACACTGTGCCAGACCAAGGCTGATGGCACAGAGCTGTGAGGAGACTCTGGAGCTGTGGGCAGTGTGGACAGACAGGTGGGGCTGGTTAAGTTCATCAAGGCCTGTGAGTGCCCTGGCAGGCAGATGGTTCCAGTGGCCTGTTTGTGGTCTAAGCAAGGTTTTACTCTGCTGTCCAACTGCTCCCAAAAAGCTTTTGACTGCCTAAAAAGGTATTAAACCCCAGTAGTTTTCAGCTGTTACATGGGCCCTGAAGTTAGTCTGCAAACAGTGCTTTCTGGGGTGAGAAGAGGGAGAAGAGGAATTCTGTGATTCACAGGGATCACAGAAAAGCAGAGAAAAGTTGAGGCCCTTGATGGGCTACTGTCCAAGAGCCAGCTCCTGCCAGCCTACAGATGGGGAGCAAGGGAGAGCTGATCTGATTTGGGTCAGAATCCTGCTGCTCAAAGCCTGAGGTTTGCACAGATGTCCTCCTAACCTCCCAATTCCCTCCCTCCTCCATTTCTGTTCAGGTGAAGGGAAAGTCCAGAGGAAGAATTTCTGCTTCAGGTTGATTTTCAGAGAGGCCAGTAAATTTATCGACTCTTTTGACACCACCCCTTTCCTTCCTCGGCTTCCCACCTTACCCACCCCATCTTCCTCCTCCCCTCCTCTCCAAGACATGCAATTAAAGAGAAGGCTCAATATCTGCCCAGGAGGAAGATTCTTGCCACGCCTGGACTCGCATATTTGCTGCTAACGTGGTGCAAAGCAAAGGGACCAGCAAACCAGCAGCCCCTGGGACACGGAGCTCTTCCTCTCGGGGTGTGGCTGGAGAACATGGACCAAGCAAACCCATGGTGTGTCTCTAGGTTACTGCAGTGATGTGTGGAAATTCACTTCCGTCCCTCCCTCCCTCCTGCTCTGTTTCTGGCCCTTTCATAGATAACTATAAATATATACAGTCTCTATTTTTTTTTTTTAACTAGCTCACAGGACCAAACTTTTCCATTCAGAGAGTGACTGCTTGCAAGAGGTATTGGAAATTAGGGGTTTGCCTTTGCAACAGTGTCTTCTCAGCACGCACTGCAGATAGGCCTGAACATTTTGGAGAGAGGGAGCTGGGGGTGGGCTGGGGAGAGAGAGAGAGAGAGCGCACATCTCTCTGCTCAACACGAGCAAGAAGGAGAAATACATTCCTCCAGGATTAGGGCACAGTCAGCTGCTCAGCTTGAGTCACTCATCCACCTTAGCACCAGCCTGGTTAAGGATCCGGAGAGCTGTCTTACCTTTCCAAGGGCTTCTGCAGACAAAGCTCCTGGGATGTGGTGCCAGCCCCTACCCTGAGCACTCCGTGATTAGGCTGAAAGCACAGGAAACCAGTCCCCTTCCTTAGAGGAACTGCACTGCCTCCCCACACATGGCACAGATCCGTGTTTCACAGCTCTCCATGGCAACTGCATTTTCTTGATGAAGGCAGGAGAAGATGAGAGAGTGTGAGCAGATGCAATCTCCAGCACAGCTAGAGAAGGCTCCCAGGGGCTGCACACTGCCTCCCTGTGTCGGATACCAGCACTGGGGAGTGGGCAGTTCTCCTTCCAGATGACACAGGACGTTTTCTCCCTCTGAATTCAGCAGGAGGGCTCTCCTCATGCACCCGCTGCAAAGCTTTCCCCAGCAGATGCAAGGAAAATAGGATGAAAGAGGGTTCTGTTCTGGGATTTTCACCCCAGCACCCCCCCAAGAGACAGATTATACATTATGCAGCATATACATATATATATACACACATATATATATGTAGGGACAGCTCTATACACTATTTACACAAACTCTAAAGCACAGAATGTAGTTCAGAACTGGATTTTAAAAAGATCCCCTGGGAGTGGGGGGTGTGTGTCATCCTGACAAGGCACATCCCTTGAACAGTTTGGAACAGTCTCTACAAAAGTAAGGAAAGGAAAGGAAAGCAAGGCAGAACAGACCAACAAACCCCAGAGTGATTAGGAATGAACGATTTCAATATTCAGAGTTTGATAAGGTACCACAAACGTGTGTGTGAGGGTGTGTGAGCACATTGAAATAGGGACAAGAGAGTTGGTGGGGTAAAGTTGGTGCAATTGATACTGAAATGGGCTATGGGGATTTTGGAGAATCTCAGCCAACTCTCATTCTCCTCCAGTTTGCCCTTTGTTCAGGTGTTTGTGGCACAGTCCTTTAAGTACCTTCAGATCTCCTCAACCACCCTTCTGTGTCTGACGCTGAGAGTTTATGAGAGGTGAATGAAGCTGTGAGAGTCTGTGTGTTTCTATAGTCCATGTTTACTTATTGTAAATACCATTTTTATACTTAACATCTATTATGTATGTGATTTGTATAATGTACTTTATTTCTGCTACAAGTAATTTCATGAAGTTTAAACTTAGTCTAATTTTGAACAAAACAAAAAAAAAAAAGAAAAAATATGAACAAATGCAAAATGGGAAAAAAAAAAGGACTTTGGGAATCCTAGGTCAAGCTGGTTTAAAACAAGCATTTACAGTTTCTTCCATCACAGTTACTGATGTGACTGTACAATGTTACAGGTGCGATACAAGCTTTGTCAATGTCAAATTCCTCACTCTGGTCAAAAAAAATCCTAAATTTATTTAATAAAAGTTTTACTTGCTAAGTACCTGGGGCTTTACTTCCTGTTGTTAGCTGCACCTGCTTTTAGGTAATGCTTACACTTGAAGACATTGCCAAAGCCCTGGGCTGATTGAACCGGTCACACAGGGTCAGCAAACAGGCCTTGGCCCACAGAATCCAGGGGACCAGTATTTCTTCACAGGGGAAGCATCAACTCATAACACCAACACATTAAAAACTTGTTTAATTAAAATAGAGATAAAAATTCTACTTAGAGGAAGCAAGAGGGTTCATGGGATCCAAAAGTAGTGGAGGAAGGATGTCCCAGGAATGTACAGCCATTGCAGGACATCCTGTGCAGACAGACAGGGGCTAAAGCTGGGGCTGAGCAAAGCTGGATGCTGTCAAAGTGAGGTGAGGCTGAAGGAGGAGGGGAGATGGGAGGAGGGCTAAGGCAGAGTGAACAGTGGGAAAGATCTCTGACTGATGGGTAACAGCAGCAGAACCATGGCTGAAGCATGATGACAGACCATGAGTCATGTTAGGAAAATGGGACTTTGCCACCACTGCTGCCCTGCTTGACAGCAGTGGTTGAGTGGGATGCTTAGTGGGATGGCAGGAATGTGATTAGAAGGGCTGTAGGATGAGACTGGGCATGCCTCAGGGACTGCTGTAGTTATAGAAAGTCCGTAGCACCTGGTTGCCGCTGCTGGGGAACAGAGCCCAGAGGCAGCAGAGCTGCTGCAGCCACCGCGGGTAGAAAATCTCATGTGCCCGAGCGGCTCCGCCCCGGACGATGGCGAGCGCGGCCTCGGGAGCGGGGGAGGCACTGAGGTGCACTTTGCCCCTGCAAGGCAATGGCGCAGCGTCACTCGGAGCCTGCTGGGGTTCGAGCTGGGCACGCCGATCCCACAGGGCTCTGCCTGCTCTGTTCCATAATGAACAACCCCTGTGGTGTGCCCAGGCAGATGCACACACCCTCTTAGAGTTGCTGTGCATTTTTTTGCACGTTTTCAAGAAGGGATGTGTTCCTGCAGACAAATTCATACCTGGTGTACTCCAGTGCTGACTCAGTATCAATCAGGCCCAGGATGCACAGTGTGACTGACACATCTCTCTTCTGCATGATGAGCTCGTGGCGCAGGGAGCTGAAGAATCCATCCAGGGCAAACTTGGTGGCAGAGTAAGAAGTGGTGAAGGGAGTGGGCATTTTCCCTGGAAAGGGAAAAGAGAGAATGGAAAACCCCAGGAAACTGGGTGTAAGGAGGATCCATGGAGAGAAGATGCAGGCTTTGTCATACTGTATCAACTCCTGTTCTGTTCTGTGAGTCTCCCTTTATGCAAGTATATTAGAACACATATTACTATATTATTATGTATTTATTATTATTATATACTGTGAAAAGCACAGTGTGAAAATATATTTAGGAGTTGAATAACAGAAATATAAACAGTATATATGAACAGTACTGAGAATCATTGTTTCCAGAAGGCCAGCACTTACTCCAGGTAAAGTCACCAACCTGTGAGGGAAGAAACAACCACCAGAGCACCTCTGTTCTTCTCCAGGGTGGGAAGAGCTGCTGTTGCAAGAGCCACATAACTCAAAAAATTCACCTGGAATGATAAATGTAGACATGGAAGAAGCAAGAGGGTTTGGAAGCATGAGCCAAGAAAGTCAGTAGAGTGGTCAGAAATGGAAAGGAGCATGGTTTGGAATTGCTTTTTCAAACATAAAGTGAGAGAAATCATCTCTAAAGATGGGGACAAACATTGCATCCATCAGTCTTTCAGATTCCAGAAAAGGCAGTGAAGAAGATTGAGAGCAAAGGTTATTCCTGGGCTTTAACATACACATTTCCTGACAAGAATACAATTAGTTGTCCCTGCTTTTTCTTTATGCCTTTCTTTATTCTGCAATCCCTACCAAAGACACCAGAGTCTGTTTGCTCCCCTTCTAAGTTTCTCTTGACTGTGCTCAAACTGCAATGAGGCACAAAATTCAGTATCTCTTCAGAGTCTGACTGCTCTCTTAAATTATATTAATGTCTTACCTAAGTCCCCACTGTCCAGCAAAAAGCCTCCTTCCAAAATGAAATACAAACTAGTATGACCCACCTGAATGAAGAAGACTGAATCAAGAAAACAGCTCTTCATTTCCATGGCCCCAAAACCTGGCACCAGGGTGATTCTACAGGAAAACTCTAAATCTGTGAACAGAAACTCAAATGGCAGACACCATTTCAAACAACTTTGTGTTCTGCACTCGTGCACGTGCCATAGACCAGTAGGAAGTGCTGGCTGCTCACTTAGAGACCTTCCTGAACTAAACACAACTGCCTGGAACTGCCCATCAATCCTAAACTCCTGGGCTAAAGGGAAGTAAGAAGGACAGAAGGAAGAAGTCTGAAATTCTTTCCAAACATTCCTCTTCACAAATGTACAACGTCTGAGCAAAACACCTCTCTAGCAACAAAGCCTCCAAACAGGAATGAAGCAAAAGGATTGTTCTCAACCCCTGCCACAGACATGGATTTGCCTTGGAGCTTGTAAAGCTGTCCTGGGAGAAGCCAGGCTCAGCTCCAGGGGAGCTGGGAAGCCTCACCTGCATGAGCCAGCGGGTGTATTCCACATCTCCAGCCCACTCCTGGAAGCGGTTGGTGCCGATGTGGTTCAACACGAGGTAATCCAGGCCCCCTCGGAGAGCAGAAAAAGCAGTCACACAAGGGGCCCATCCCTGACCATCAACCAGCAAGCTCAGAAATGCCAGGAGGGCTCAACCACTCCCTCAGAAGGCTGGGAAGTGCTTTAACCATGGAAACAGATTAAATATGCCCATCTGGGAGCAGCTTTGACTGCTCCTCAGGAGTAGAACTGAAAGGAAAACTGTTTGACTTTGACAATAACTCCCTGAAATGATGTTTCAGCATGATTCAGGATCAGAACTTAGCTCTGGTGGTACATCTATGTCCTTAACACCTTTCTCAGTTCAGGGAACTGAAGCAGGAAGCTCCTGCTACAATGAGAACAGTGCACACACCTGAAAGCCAAAGAGATGCTCAGGATGCTTACCCAGCTTTTGGACAGCAAACTGAACCACCTTTTCAGGCTCTGAAGGAGAAGACATATCTGCAGGGATATAAAATATCTTCTTTGCTCCGAGCGTCAGGCATTTCTCCATCACCTTGAAAAAGAACACACCCCAAAGATTAAACTATTTGAAAAAAGATGAGGGGGAAAGGGCACTATAAAGCACATACCACAGTCAGTGAGAGTCAGTTCTGGACAGAGATACACTTTAATTTAAAATTTACTGCTGTTTGGGCCATGGAGAGCTCATTCTGCATCCAGACTTTGAATCTGCATCCTGCAAAGAGTTACCTCTATTTAACTGTCTGCTTAAACGATCTACTTTGGGACAGGATCAAGATTCACTGGAAAAAAACCCAGTCTTCTTCAGGGGAAATCTTCTGGAACAAGGGTTATGCTTTACATTGAGTTCTTCTCTTTTTTTCCAAAATAACTGGAAAAGAATTCATCTTTCATAATTCCTTTGCTATGTTGAGTGTGTGAATGTGCCTGGCAATGATATGCAGTTTTAGCTATTTGCTGAAATAATGCCTTCCAGTCATTAGGAGCTATTATTATGCTCACTGTCCCCAACTCACCTTTTGCACCATTTCACAGTGAAGAACTTTCCTTGGAAGTCACAAATGCCCACAATTAAAGAGTTACCCTTTCTAAATATTGTCCTATTTCATAAAGTTGAAGAAGTCTCAACTGTTGGAGCTGGTCAAAAAGCATTTACAAAAAGTCTTGAGTTTTTAACAAAACAGCTACAAATAGAACAATTTGGACTCTGAAAATCTTCACAACGTTGCACAGGAATTGTAGTTCATGGAGTATCTCAAATTGAAGAGGACCCATAAGGATCACCAAATCCAAATCCCTGTTCCTCACAGGACTCCCTGAAACCAAACCATATCATTAAGGATGTGGCCCAGATGTTCCTTGAGCTCTGATAGGCTTGGTGCTGTGACCACTGCTCTTTGGGGAACTTACTCCAGGGACTGATCACCCTCACAGTGGAGAACATTTTCCTAATGTCCAGCCTGAACTTTCCCTGATGCAGCTTCACACCATCCCCTCGTATAAATAAATGTTCAGGCAGTTAAAAGCTCAGGCACTGTATTTGCATCTTCTTGTACAGGCCAACTTCTCTTCTGGGTTTATGCTGAACATTTCCAAAGGAAAATCTATCATGCTGACAACTAATTTTTTTGTTGGTTTGGTAAAAGCCTGAATCTCTTATGTCTTCCCCCATACAAGGAGGAGGCTCTTACCTTCTGCAGCACAGCTTCCCTTCTGGCAGTCAACACAATTTCAGCACCAAATCTGGCATAGTGATATGCTATCTGCTCTCCAATCCCAGCACTGGCTCCAGTCACAAGAACACGGGCACCAGACAGGCTCTCTTTTTTATGGGAAAGAGAATAAAAGATACAGAAGTAAGTGAAGGAAAGAGCAGAGGAGCTGCCCTTAACTACTGACAGAGCTTTAAAAAAGAAAGATTCACCTAAGTGCTCAAAATTCTTGGTGCTTCTCCAAAACTAGAAGAGGCAGGACTGGTGATGCAATGACATGATGATGGCAGCTAGCTGTGTCACAGGGCCTAGCCTGGGTTGCTAGACCAAAATCTTTCAAGAACTAAGTTGTTTTTCACCTTCTGAGAAGCTGTACAGAAAGCAGAAATCGGGCTATGTGCCTTCTGCATATCATTTACTCCTTGCCATCAGTCTGGAGACATATCAGCCCTCTTGTGCCAGGCACTGCACACCTACAGAGACGGTTCTTGACACCAAGGAATTTACAACCAAAACACAGAAAGAGCAAGGTAGTAGCAAAGTGTCGTTTTTTCCCCCACAAAGACAGAAGGATCCCTGCTCTTAGACCATTTCATCTTCCTCTTTGTTTCAAGTTTCTCTTTGTTTCTGGGAATGAAACATTGCTTTGGGGCCACCAACTCTAGTAAGACTATGGGCAGGAATGAGACCATCAGTCAAAGTTTGGAAATTCAACATCTTCCCTTGTGTGACTTATATTTCAGCTTGAAATCATCCCCCTGGTGAGCCTACCTGGGTTAAAGTCATCTTTCCAGAAGAAAGCTATGAGCCCAGCTACAACCCCTGCAGCACAAAGCACTTTTCCAATTGGCTTCATATCCCTTCAAGCTGTAACGAAAAAAGTGGTCTTGAAGCTGAGCACTTCAGCCAAAATTACACCGTGTTCTCCTTTCTCTGATGCCTGAAGCCAGCTTGGGAGTGGCACGTCAAGGCTTTTGTAGAACCGAGAGCCCACCTGAGGGGTCTCTCCCCCGGGAGCCACAGCCACCTTGGTCAAGAATAAAAAGGATCTTTCACCGGTAATTCCCACAGCGCTCTGCACTCAGAGGCTACAGAAGAAAAAAAAAACCCTCGTGTCTAATCTTAGAGAACTCTAAATTCATTAAAGACTAATGACAGCTGGCAGCAGTGACCCCAAAACAGCCGGATCTCGGCAGGGAGGCGGCGGCAGAGCCCACAGGACGGAGCCTTGTCTGGATAAGAGCAGCAGGATGGGCTGCTCCGCCACCACGCTGCGACACAGCGCGACAAAACGAGCGGCGGGGACAGCGCCACAAAGGCGCAGGAGCCGCGCTCGGCCCCCTCACACCCTCAGCCCGGCCCGGCCCGGCCCCCTCACGCCCCTCAAGTCCTGCCCGGCCCCCTCACAACCTCATACCCTCAAGCGCTGCCCGCCCTGCTCATCCCTGCCCTGCCTGTCCCTCTCACACCCCTCAAGTCCTGCCCGGCCCCTCACGCCCCTCACACCCCTCCAACCCCTCAAGCCCTGCCCGGACCCTCACACCCCTCAAGCCCTGCCTGGCCCCCTCACGCCCCTCAAGTCCTGCGGGGTCCTGCCCAGCTCCTCACGCCCCTCAAGTCCTGCCCGGTCCTGCGCGGCCCCTCACACCCCTCACGCCCCCAGCCCTGCCCGGCCCCCTCACGCCCCTCAAGTCCTGCGGGGTCCTGCCCAGCTCCTCACGCCCCTCAAGTCCTGCCCGGTCCTGCCCGGTCCTGCCCGGCCCCTCACGCCCGCCCCTCCCGCGGGCGGGGCGGGCGGGGCCGCGCGCGCCCGTGACGGTCCCGGCCCCGCCGCCGCCATGGCCGCCCGCCTGCTGCCCGCTGTCAAGTGAGTCCCGCGGGCCCTGCCCGCCCTCCCGGCCCGGCCCTCCCGCACCCTCCGCACGGCGTTTCCTCCCCGTACTCCCCACCCGCCCCTCAGTGCTCGCCGCTGTCCCCGGCCCGTCCCCAGGCCCGCGGCCGGCCCTGTCCCTCGGCTGTGCTCGCCTCGCTCCGCGCCCTTGGCCTCGCCCGCCCCCGCGGCTCCCCGTGTGTGTCTGCACTCGCCGGGAGGGCCCTGCCGCTGGCTGCGGGCATGCACACGTAACATAAGGCTGGGAGTAGCGCGGGGCTCGGAGCTGTGGGTACACCCACAGCGAGGCGGTGCGGAAGGGTATCCTTGGGGGCCGGCAGTGCATTTCGGCAGAGAAATCACTTTTCCCCGAAATGCGTGTGAATACACGACTTTAAAAATTGGTTCTCTCTTCTCAGCCGTCTTGTATCTGTCCTATGTCCTACTACTGCAGTACCACTGTCTGCCAAATTTTGGGTTGTCCCCTTGTTTTGCTGTTTTTTAAAGGGAAAACATCTCTGCTGTGTGAGTCTGGGGAAGTCGGTCACCTCAGACCTCTCTTTTGTAATAGAAATGCCAATAAATGCCAAATATTCCCTTCCCTTTCGTAGGTTGCCATCACAGCTGTAAAACTGGTGACTGCACATCGTACAGGGAAACTTTAAAAGCCTTGGCAATGCAAGCACCATGGCCAGGTGGTCACTGGGCTGTAATGAGCTTAACAAGATGTTGGTGTCTGTCAGATTTATTAGACAAATAGCAGATTTATCAGGAAGAACCACATCATTAACATGGATGGTTTGCCCTCTGCAGAATTCTTTAGTTGCTTTTAGCAGAGGAACATGCCAGTGATTCTCAGGCTTTAAAAAGTGGCATGTGCTCTCGAGGAATTTGACACTTTCTCATTTTTATATTGAAAACCATCACTGATAAAATGTGAATTAGGAGTAGTTTCAAGGGGCTGACGGGAAATAGTTGTCCTGGGAATGCAAGGAACATAGGAAGGTATTTTTCTGCTGATTTTTACCTACAGTAAGACATGAGGTTTCTTTACTGATACCCTCTTGGCAGTCACAACCACTGAGAGAGATGCACTGATGGTCAGAACAGGAACTGAACTGTTGTGCTTCAATTCTTTCAGGTTTCTGGTCAAAGGAGGCCTGGCTGGAGCTGCTGTGTACGTGGCATATGACCAGGGGCTGCTGGGCAGTGGCATAGAAGGTGCTGAAGCACTCAAAAAAGCTCAAGAAACGCTGCCTCCAGCTATCCAAGAGTGGACAGATTACCTGGGCTGGGAGGTAAGGGCTGCTCAGGTGATCCCTGCAACACAAACACCTCCTCTGAGTCAGGAAGAGAAAATAGGGGGGTGATATTCTGATTCCAGTGAGGCTGGCAGGAGTTTTACTGTTGAAACTGGATTTCACATGGCAAATATTTTGAAGAGGATTGAAATGGAAGGCAAATAAAATGCTAAATTTGGGGCAGAGACATTGCTCACAGATGTTATTTCAAAGGAGTGGGGTAAGCAGCCTATGCAGGGTCAAGGGGGGGACTGCAAACATGCTCTGGGAGGTATTTCACTCTGTAGTTTTCTTCTGAAGAATCCTGCTTGTTTTTAAGGAAAACAATGAAAATATTATCCTCCCAATTTTTCCCTGTTCAAATTGAATTTAAATTGCTTGAAGAGGCCCCTCTTCTATGAGTAGTTCTTAGTTTTTAAAATCCTCAGAAAATAAGAGACCTTTGCTTAAAGTTTGAGAAGAGTTTTCATATCACAAACAATTACAAACTAACAGAGGCAGCCATGGAGATGCTTTTTCAGGAGCACATGAATAATATATTCTACCTTTTGCACCTACTTTGTATTGCAGGAAAGAGCAAAGCCCAGACTTTAAGCATCATGTCTGGTCTCTTTTGAGGCTTATGGAGAGTAGGCACCTAAGTATTTTTGAGATTTGAGGTCAAGAGGCTTTGCCAAGGTGATGTGAATTCCAAGTGAAACCCCTCGAGTGCTGATATTTTGTCTCTCTCTTTCTTTCTAGCTCCCATCCACTCCAAAAATTGACTTTTCCTTCTCTGCTTCCTGGAATAAAGGTAAAATAACTGCTCACTAACTGAGTCTGAGCTAAGTTTTTGGCTTTTCAGAAGGGGTGAGCATTCCCTTTGTTATTAAAAATTTAGACATTTTTGTTTGAAGGCCAAAGCATGTTATAAATACCTAGTAATATATAGGTTTTATGGTGCAGCAAAGAGTCTTCATGTAATTGTGGGGAAACACAATCCACAGATAACTGTGACATGTCCAGCATCACCCATGGAGTCTGTGGCAAGGCCAGAAATAAAACAGGACTTAAACAAAGAACTGAGCTCAGTCCTGTAACTGTCTAAGCTCATGTACAGACCCTGAAGTTGTTATTTCTGTCACAAATGCTCAGGGCTTAGAGAGATCTACAATGGTGGTGCTGGAAATTGGGAAATTTGTCTTGAATGATGATCTTGGGGTAATTCTTCTCTGCTTTCCTTGCAGGAGTGCACACAGTCATGTCTGCCTTGTCTGTAGCTCCCACCAGGGCCTGTGAGTACACAGTGGAAGGCTGGAAATATGTGAAGGATCTTGTGAAATGAACACGTTCTCCAGGGTTCAGGATTCTCTCAGACCCCTCTGGAGGGCAGCCCAGCCATGTAAGGGCTACAATAAAGGACTTTGGCAGAATTCCCTTTTGTATTTGGGTTGGTTTTGGCCTGCAGAGTGGAATAATTGCTTTGTCTTAGCACTGATCCAAGGCTCCAGGAGTCACAGATAGTTGTGATGAAGTGATGGCCATGTGCTGAGAACAGCTTCTGTTCTAAAGCTTGGAAAATAAAATAATTATTCTGAAACTGAATTAATCTTGAAGGTGAATGCCATCTAATTCAAACCAAGCCAACAAGAGTTCAAAAAAAATTTAAAAATCCAAGGTAACAGTAAAAGATGCTGTAAAAGATGGCCTAGGAGGATTGCACAAGCACAGGGGAGAGTAACTGAGCAAAGTTCATCTGCATCAAACCTTTTGTTAGCTTGCACCATACCCCAGTTGGCAGACTGTGCACATTTTCATTTTAGTGTGGATGAAAACTTTCACAAGGTCACTTTTCAGTCACAGCCCAGGCAAATGTAAGGAGCACCGGTGGCCTGGAGGGCACCACTTGTAAAATAGTTACAAATTGATTCTGTGTTTTTAAACCTCTTTGATAGGATTGCTATAATTACAGAATGTGCCAAAACACAGCTGCAGAACAGGGAACAGCAGGATGAGTCCTTACTCAAGTCAGGAAGCAAATACAATACCTGAGGATGAAGAAGGATTTGCAGTTTTGTTTCCTTTTTTAACAAATAGGTACATGATGAAGGCAACTGCCCAGAGATTTCAGAGGATTTGGCGAAGATGCAAATGGCTTTAAAAAGTGCTTCAGTTAATTCCTGATGGATGGGTCCATCAGCAGCTCTGAAACCTCATGGTCCAGATGGAAGCTTCAAGCTCAGTAAACCCTGGAGTTGTGTCCTGCAGGTGCCAGATGCTTCACAGCACCCCAGAACCCAAATAACCTCTGTTGATGCCCCATTTCTTCTCTAACTTTCCAATGTTCACTGCTCTTCAAGCAGCACAACTTTGGTTCTAGGTGTACTCCCCCTTCTCACCGGGCCAAACCTCCCACTTAGGAAATCCTGACATTCATCTAGAGTCTTCCTCTCTCTGGCTTTGCTGTGAACCAAATGGAACCATTCTGAGCAAAGCACACCGTGTACAAACAGAATACTGCACCTCTGCCATGCTCAGAACCTGAGTTCTCCATGCTGTTCAGAATCTTCTGAACCACTTCTTTGCCCTTTGATGATTGCTCTCCAAACTTTATCATTGTAATATGCTTTCTCCACTGATGAAAGAAAAAATATCTTCGTGCCACTCATAAAAAAACCCCTTCTCTAAAGATGGAAAATCCCCCTGTGACCCTACAAATGAAAGTAACATTTTTTTTCCTCTTGGCTTCAGAAAACCCATTTTAGGGTAAGGCTAAGGTCATGTTGCTCCAGACATGTCTGCACAAAGACAAATAACTTGGATATGACAAAACAACAGATCATTTGCACCAATCTCATTCATGTTAATTCCTCAACACAAAATTATGCCAAAGCATAGCCAGTGGCTGCTTCTAAGGAAATTATGGACTGCTAGGTAAAATTACTGGGCTGTAAGACTGGTGGGTTTGGACTCCCTGATCTATCAGTAGCTAAATAAAGTGATCCTGACAAGCACCTCTGTGCTGTCTCTTACAGAAGCTGTGCTGCTATCACAGAATTTAACTCCTTTTTCAGACATTATATTGCACATGACACCAGTGAAAAGAATTCTTCACCACTTGCCCTAAAATCTCCTGTGGCAATTTTGCAGTGGCAAGGCATTCAAACTTTGGCAGCTGTGATCCACAAACGTTCTCTCATGGTGGCACATGGGCCATGGTTACACAGGTGGGTAACTGACAGCTGTGAGGGAACACACAGTATTTCACTATTCCTCAGAGTGCAAAGGGACACCTGTAAGGCATTTTGACACTTCATCTTTGAAACAAGAAATCTGTTTGACAGGGACTGCTGAAACAAAGCAAGTAACTGTAAACTGGCGTTTATTTATGGAAAATGGAATGCTTCATTAACAAACATTTTTAAATGGGATATGAACAACACCTTACAAAACAAATGAGTTCACATTGGATTGAGTGACATAATATGGCAGCAGCTTAAAAAAAATTACACTTACAGTAGCCCATAAGTTACAATTAATGGTAACCCTGGGTAACAGATTTGATTCACTTGCCACCTTGCATTAAAAACCAAACACAATCAGTAGCGACGGTTGAAACGAGGATCGTTCGGTCTGTTTGCCCTTTCCTGGCCAGCAAATCCTTCTCCTTGCATTCCTCCTCCGTGCATGATCTGACTCTGATTGCCCCCCTGCATGAAACTGCCACGCCTGGAAAGAGATTCAGACATTTTAATATTCTCTCATGCTGGTACACTCAGGTTGCAAGAATGGGTGTTCTTTTTGTTTCCACTCTTCCATAAAATGTACTACATAAAAACCATGGGGATATTTAATTATTCCTTGATATTTAAGTAACAAATTAGATAACTGATACTCCCGTAAAATGTTTCTTTTGCCAGTTTAAATAGAAATGTCCCTTAACAGGAAAATACTTTGCTCCTTTTAAAGTTCTTACCCTGACATGCCTCCACGATGCATCACATGGCCAGGTCTGCCTCTACCGCCACCTGAAAAAGTTCAAACAGTCCCTTTATATCCACAGCAAGAGTTTGATTTCAAGGATAATGTCTGTATTTTCTTCACTCAGCACAGCTAAGGAGCTGTGCAAGAACCATACCTTGCCATCTCTCATGATCCCTTCCTATCATCCCTCCATCCACGCTGCTCTGCCAGGAGCGATCTTGGTGCCCTTCGAACTTCCGACTGTGATCTCCCCAGTCACGTCCATCCCTGTGAAGAAATGAAATTCCCATCTTCTCACACAAGCCACAGCATGTGGAATAGTTTTTATATATTTTATTAAATATTTTATTATTTGAATCTAAGTCACAAACTTACTCAAATATCTTACCAAGGCTCATGTGAATCTTGTAATATTTACATTGCTATCTGTTAAGTAAAATCTCAGAAGAATTTTTCTGCCCAAATCAACTAAGATGATGAATAAATAAGATATTGAGGGAGAACTACTATCCTGAAAATAGCAAGCTTTGATAGGAATGTTAGTTACAATTAATGGAAAGCATTGACTTTTAAGATGTGAAGTTATTAAAAAAAACCAGGTGAGTGCATGTTTTGATGCACAAGGCATCAAATCGTCTGCAGTCCATCCAACACACCTTTGGTGAAAGCTGGAAAAAAAGAACACCTTCCAAAAACTGACATATGGAAACATTCCTCCTTAGGAGCAGAAGAGGGGTTTTCAGTACTAACCGTGACTGTGGGGGGATCCCTCTGCTCTCACTCATCCTCCTGTCGGAGCCGTAGCTTCCCCAGCTCTCCCGCGAGTCCCGCGAGTGCCGGTCGGGGCCTCCGTGGCGCTCGTCTGGGTAGTGCTGGAAGGCACAGAGCTCTTACACACTGCTCACAGCTCTAACTGCTCCATCTCACAATCATCTGGGAGAGAAAGGGACCTCCTGACATCTGCTCAGGGTCAGCCAGCTCCAGGCTTTCCCAGTGGGTTTTGAGGATCTTCCCAGCTAGAGACTGCACAGGCTCTCCATGCAACCTGTTCCAGTGTACCCAGTTAAAGGGGATTTGAATCCTCTTCAGATGGAACTGTGTTCCAGTTTGTGCTCACTGACTCTTGTCTTTTCAGACAACCACTGAGTGGCAGCTCAACCTTCAGGATATTCCCACCAGCCCAACTCTCCAGCCTATCCAGGTCCCTCCAAACCTCACAGTAAAGACCACTGAGGATTCTATGACTCCACAAAATTCATCTGTCACTGCTTGAGTGAGTCCTGAAAGTCTTACCCCCAGCCCTCAAACACAAATATCTCTACAGTTCAGCTATTATTACCATGTAACCTCAGAGAGTGAATTTGTACTTTTGCCTCTTCTATGCAATCTTTTGGAATACTGTATTTTGACACAACTCACCTGCTTTGTCTTCTATCAGAATAACTACATCTAACTTTTATAATAAACAAGTCTTTGAATTTATTTTCATCTTATTGAAGTAAACAAGACAATCTGATTATTCCAGCATATTTTGGTAGATATAATGTAATTCTCAACTACTGAAATGTAATCTGACACACACACTACAGAAAACCAGGTTATAAGATGTGAAGATATTTCTGTAGCTCTATAAAGCAACTCACTTGTCCATCCCGATCTCCCATAATTGTTCTGGATCCATCTCTCCTAGAAACAGACAATTAGAATCAGACTGTGATAGTAAAACACACAGCAGTCTATAAAATCCATTTATTTAACAACACAGATGAAAAATCCTGCTCCCACATCATGCCACATTATCCACAAAAGGCATAGACAGCTGGAACACACAGTTAGTCCTAACATATAAATCAAAATATTCTTGTTAAAATTCTAGGCGCCTACAATATTATTTATAAGTTTTACAGAATCCTACAAATACGTGAAACAGCGCTGCAAAAACATTGTCCAAGCCTGCCAGAAGCTTTAACTCATGGCACAGTACACGTATTTTCATTGTTTTAGAAGAGAAATTCCACAGCCACTAAGTGGCACTTGAAAAATAACATGCAAACTAAGCACACAGCATAGGAGCAAAATGTGGCATGAAGTACATATTTTTGCCTTTTGTTCTCAGGCAGCAGTGGAGGTAAGACACCAACCTGTCTATTGAATGCTCCTGGTAACGCCCACGGTCCCTGTGATCGAAGTCATGGAAGCGATCCTGGCGACTGAAGTCTGAGTGGTATCTGTCATTCATGGCCATTCGTTTTGCCTCTGGCCAGTATGGATCATCCCTCCTGAAAGAAAGAACAGACTCATTTCAGCCCAGATAACAAATGCCTGTGGTCACATTTCTCTTCACAGAGAAAAGCAAGGCACAACTTCCCAAGGATGTCTTCTGGGAATCGCAGCGGGGAACCTCAGAGAAAGAAAAACACAATTCTTATCTCAATTGCTGCTCCTCTTGTTGTGCACTAGTGGAATGCATTGTGGAAGACTGTTTACCTGAAGGAAATTGGTAATTGGATTCTGGTGTGAGTGTTTTGATTCACTGACCAACTGGATCCATGTGTGTGTGTCGGGGCTGTCGGCTGACAGTCATGAGATTCAGGGCAGTGGAGTGGAGTGCTTGTGCAGAT